TCACATTCATCAGTTCGCTACTTTACGGAGCTTTTCAAATCGACCAAACTGAAGGTTGAAAATCTTTCACCAAATAGCAACCCAGGAGAAGCAGAGGTATAGGCCAGCTTTTGGAAAGCTAGATAAAATTTATTGGTTGATCTTCAGAGAAAAACAACCATTCAAAGTAAAAATCCATTAAAAAGGTTCTGAGTAAAAATCAATTAAAAAGTTTTGGTAATATAAATGGTGAGCGATATCCGAGGAAGTAAGGAATGCGAAGATAGGAACAGGATGCTGTGACCTTCGAGAAGATTTCTTTTGCTATCTTGATTTTTATGGCTTCTGTAGAACAGCCACACCAGGAAAGACATGTCTGAAAAAATTCATATTAACGAGGAAAATTTGATAAATGAGCGTACCAACTAACTTGCAGTTCATGTTACTGTGGTGTTTCCACTGATTCCTCTCAGGATCAAAAACCTCAACTGAGCTATGAAGCAATGAGATATTCTTCCCACCAATGGCATACAACTTTCCATTGTCTGCAGCCACTCCTAACTGAGAACCAGACATCTTTTCATAAAAAAGGATAAAGTGGTATAGAGAGCTCAGCTGACTTACACCACTTCGAGTACAGCTCATATCATCCACTGAAGTCCACCTGTTAGTTCGCTGATCGTACTTCTCAGCAGAGCTTAGCTGCCGTGAATGTTCATCGAATCCACCCACTACATACAATTCGCCATGGAGCACTGCAGAACCATGGCCCTTTCGAGGGGTTGACATTGGACAAACCTTTTCCCATCTACCGACTCGTGGGTCAAACCTGAGACATGAAAGGCTTTTCTGATGGTTGATCCAAACGCGTTTTACCATTTGATCACAATTCATCATTCATCATCATCATTCGCAGAAAGAAAAAATTGGTACAGGACCATTGTATGCACAACAAAATCAGCTCTCATGGGCGGCCCCTGAACCCTCGCCAATTTATCGGAAAAATCGTACTATCGTTCCCCTCTCCTGATTCTGAACATCTCAGAGATACAGTACTTGCCCCGAATCACGTGATCAATGAGTTCGTTTCGAGCGGCTCTTGAGGAGTATGATTCCAATAATTTAACGAAACCCTATCCGCTTGATGTGCTGATCAACTTCGTGCATAATTTTAAAATTACCGTCCAGGACAATCACGATTTTGGTCTCTTTTTTTGTAATTGATAATAGTGGTTCTTTTTCTAATTGTTCCACAAGAGTAATCGAAGATGTTGAATTCTAAGAAACTGCTAAAAGGAGTACAGCGTCACCAGATTGGAACTGTCCCACCTCTCTGCGGTATTGAGATCAACAAGTTCCTTGCCCCCTCCCACTGCGTAGAGGCAACCATCTAACATGGAGACAGAAAGAGTGTCCCGACGTGAACCCATAGGTGCCACACAGGACCACTCATCTCGTCGGACGTCATAGCTGCAGCGATAATGCGGAATTCAGTGCATGCAAGGATCTATTAAACCTGCCCCTACCGTTCAACAATATCTAGGCTTCGCCTACTATCATCAAAGCCGCCAACTGCATAAAGATGGTTGTCAAGAGCAGCTACAGCCAGGAAAAATCGACCAGTGGGACAGGGAGCGAGGCCAGACATCCACTTGTTAGTGATAGGATTATATCTGAAGAAAGGCATTGAGAAAAACTGAATTCCTTCTCATCTCGCAATGCGAATGGCTTCAAGAAAACGATCATTCAATCCCAGCGACAGAACTCAAACTTTGGAAGNTCTAGGCTTCGTCTACTATCATCAAAGCCGCCAACTGCATAAAGATGGTTGTCAAGAGCAGCTACAGCCAGGAAAAATCGACCAGTGGGACAGGAAGCGAGGCCAGACATCCACTTGTTAGTGATAGGATTATATCTGAAAAAAGGCATTGATAAAAACTGAATTCCTTCTCATCTCGCAATGCGAATGGCTTCAAGAAAACGATCATTCAATCCCAGCGACAGAACTCAAACTTTGGAAGAATATGCTCCGAAACTATCATTTTAAAAAATGCAGTCCAGTAAGGCGAATTACTTTTTGCTTGTTTCTGAATTTTTCATTGGAAGCAGATTTTTGACTGACCCTATTTCCAGTGAAACAGCGGACTCACACGAACTCAAGAATGATTCCAAGGTGATACTACAGAAAAACAGCTTAAAGACAAAGCTAATCTGTTTTACAGTTAAAAACGCAGTACCTCTCGATGCTGTTCAAAATACCGATGCCCGGACAGTAGCCACACACAGCATAAATGGACCTGTCGACAACAGCAACGCCGCCATAGCACCTTAGGAGGTTTAGCCCTTTTCGAGCTAGTAAGCACATATTAGAAGAATGTTGTACCTTTTGTGGTTCAAAGGAGCAACGTACTGCCACACACGATTATTACCTTCGCGATCCAGACGTTCGACGCTTCTCTCGTTTATTCCACCCACTGAACTTGAATATTTCAAAGTAGTAGCATTAACTTTCCACAGAAGTGTATAGCAAGGAAAAACCAATATGGAAGCCATTATGGTGAGAAAAACCCAGTTAGTTCTTGGCCTCCGTGACAATGAGGCAAAAAAAAATTCACGAAACTTTTGTTAAGCCTCGTACCAACATAGATTCCTTCAGCAACCACACCACGTGCTCGAGTGCACTTCCCTCTCATATTCGAACATTCAAGTATAGAAAACTGAAGAATAAGGTCATCCTAAAACTTGGTTCAGTTGAAAACGTAGCGAATGTTAGCTCCTTGCAAATCTAGGAAACTAATCTGTTAGGAGTAGCCTTCTCGTAAAAGCTTCTAACCTTTGCCTGGTCGACAAAATTGCGGCAGGTGGCGTCAGCCATCACAAGCGCATTTTTACTTACTGTGTTGACAAGGAACTCCGGCCGACAAAGAGGAAGTCGTACGTACTCCAACAGCTGCAAAAGTTGAATAGAAGTCTATATTTGAAGAAGCTCCTGGCTTTCACCTCCGGGAGAAATTGCTTCCGAGACGACAGGTCGGACTCAACCCACTGTATTAATGCATCGAAAACCTGAAGTCATACTTGTCCTTTACACACTTGAAGACAAAAATACGCAAAAAATACCCAGAAGGGGCTCAAGGTTCCAATGAAACTGACACAGGGTAACGGAACTTCTCCCCTATCGCGGCATTCTCCCTTGCGGCATGCGGCAAATGTCACTGCAATTACCGTACTCACCCCTCCTCCCGAAAATCAATAGGACGCGATATTTTTCCTTGACTGGCTTGCTTTCTCATTGGATTTTATCATTTTCTTCTGTTTCTTTTTAGTTTTCATGTTTATTAGACTTGATTAATTAAAATGACTCCTCTTATATAAACGACGATCAATACCGCAATTTGAAGGGAGCGACCAGCCAATTCAAATGATTAAAGGACTCCCTACCTCACAAATTGCGCGCTCCAATCTTTCATCGCAATCGTGCGATAGGCGGCGGGTGCGGCGTGTGCGACGCCGTGTTAGGGGAGAAGTTCCCGGACCCACTGACACATGACCTGTTCTACGAGAGGTGCAATGAGCTCATCATTAGATAGGAACTGAACCAACTGATTTTTTGGAAGCTGATGAAACTCTTCAGTGCCTATAATGACCTGAGAAAAGAATGCATTATATTCGTGAGCGACTAGCCAAAACCGTAAACTAACTACCTGAAAATTCTCCAAAATGTAGTTATCAGCACAACGAACAAGCTCTCGACAGGAGTGAGTATCGGCAAACTCTCGAACTCCCAGGCAATTTGACGGGCGTAACTGCTTTTTCAAAAACTCACAGCAGGCCTCCTAAGCATTCACTAGGTAGAACAAATTATCGCTTTTATCAGGCTCATGAATACAGGAAACCTTGACGTCGTTCAACTGGAGCAGACAAGCAGCGTGGAGGGTGCTCGGAACGTTGACGTCGCTGATCTGTATCTCACCAGAATAGCAGAAATTAACCAGAGCATCAAGCGCTGTCGCTTCAATATCGATTAGTTCTATTTCATCTGAAAAAATCAGATAAGTGAAGTAATGCAGACCTGACATTAGAAAGGAGAACATGGTGAGACTGTAGAAGCACACATCACAAATTATGAACGTACGCTGCCGAGATTCTTTCATTTCACTTGTGAACATAGCCCTGAAGTAATCCGAGTATGCAGCGAGTACGATTCGATGAGCGTTGATACGGAATCCCTTTGAAATCCCTTATTCAAGCTCACTTAATCGACACATTCTTGTGTCCTACCTCGGCTATTAAAGTCACATCACAAAAGCGACGATTATCACGTAATTCAGCGAGCTTGACGACAATGAAGCGATTGTGAGCTTGACTCTGAACAGGACGATGTGCACTATGGAATGAAGAAACAAATTTGAAAGAGGAAAAGCCGGCTCGAATGGAACGCTTTTTGTCGATCTTTCTAAGATGGATGAAATGGATCACTTAGACCTCTGCATTAGTATTTGGCTCCTCTTCGGCCTCTTTAATCAGTAGCCGTTGGGCGATCTTCAATGGAGGACTTTCTTTGGAAATTAGATGACGGGATAGCGGTCAGCTGTCACTTCCTTACGGAAAGGAAAAGAAATGGCAATACCATCCATTCCCCAGCATCAATATTGGGTACCCCAGACACAAGGTCTAATCTCTCAACAATCAGTTTCTCGACAAGATCTAAGTTTTAGTTCTGAGTCTAGCTTATATAAACCAGCATTCTGAGTGAAGTTACACAGTCTTCCTAGAAAACTCACGGGATCTCCTTAAAAAAAATCTGGGCTAAACAAAATCTCGACTGCATATGAGCATGTAACGCTAGGGGATACTGGAAAATGAGGATTGCCATTTAGATATATATCGAGCACCATTGCTATCATTGAAATACTGTCTTGAACTCCACGTTCATGATACCATCCTCTTGATCTCCTCCAACTGCTTGGCGGGCATTTGAGCGGCCAATTTGTTTGGTGGGGGATTGAGCTACCAGCACAGCCGACCGAGCTGTGTGGCACACGGAATCGCTGAGTTGTCCCGTCGACAACGACCATCGGCCATCACGGTACATTTTAAGTCAGATTTGTCTGCGTCAAGGAACAAGGTAAGACCACCGCACTCGTCAAATGAGACTGCCCCTCTTAGAGAACCGATAGTACGTCAATTAAATTGCCAATGCGTTCAAGTCAGGGAAGTCGAAGGTTTTTTTATTTTGTTCGTGGACACTAAGGTTAGTTGAGCTTGTGAAAGTCCTTTTAATTATAAATACGTTCAATAAATATTTCTGTTGTTAAGTGAGTTTACCTGAAGCATGGATCAGTGATTTTTACACCTGGGGAGTGGGCATCTGAACAAATACCATAATTAAATATTTTTTTACCTTGAACTCCAAAATATCATCCGTTTTCCCATTTTGCTCGTTCTTTGAA